ACTTATGATACTTGACTATGACCCTTCCGTGTGCCTTCTCCGCTCGACTCACAGCCTCTGGAGGTATTTGGAGAAGTTTCAAAAAAAAGAACTTCCAAAAACACGCCATTATAACACAATTCATAGCAACTGACGGCTTCGATGTTCCTCATCTATTAGGGGGGAAATCGGTCGACAGGGAAACCCTACGTAATAACCCGCACACCCGTTAACAACGATTTTCCGCAGTATAATATTTCAAGCTAGTGAGGTTAAAAAAATACACGTAGAATCTATCGATTAACTACCCAAAATTGGTTGAAAAGTGTTGGCGGTAAAAAAAAGAAGAATATAACTTCCTGATCAATTTTCACTTATGTTGATTCAGTTTTGAATAAGCTTTGCAGAGATGTATTTTTTCAAGAAATATTTAGCTTTAATATTATCCGACGCCGTCAGTAATGAAATGGGATTAATTTTCTGAAACGTGATTTTATTCGAGATTTGCTTCTGGAGAAGACAACTTTCTGTCCGTAGAGCATGAATATTAATACTCATCACAAGACAGTATCTTATTGGTCTCAATTATGGTACATCTAAACGTGTATAATTTTTTTGTTCAATAAAAATGTTGCATCACTTGCAGTTGTTATTATCATTCAATAATATTAAAATGACATAAAGTATTTATGATGAACAGTCCTAGAATATTTTAATAAGGAACCGTCAGTTGTAAAATGTTATTGTTATCTGATAATGAACAGTCGTCATACTTGCTGGTATGTCATTTATTATTGACAGTTTAGGTTTTTCAAAATTTGCATGATTAACAGTCCGAATGTAGACCTCAATTAAATGTTCTGGAATATTAACAAAATGAATAGTCAACCACATTAACCATATATAGGAATGGTTGAACACAACAGTAAGGATAAATAGCGCAATGTGCATATCTTTTTATTTTGGTAGCATATTTTAAGCAAAAAGAAAAGAAACTATAAGTCTGAAACATTCTCTCATAGCCTCCCCATCAGTACATTCAGTGCTTTGATTTGTTAAAGTGGGTCTTATATAAATGTCACTGAAGTTATAATTTTCCTCATCTGGTTGTAAAGGTATTGCTGATACTTTAAGTACATCACTGCAATAATGTTCTATCAATTGAGTACGACAACCTGAAATTTATTGAGCAGTCAAAAAAGTCAGCAAAACTTACAAATTATCTTAACATTACAAGATTCCCTCACAAACTGGAGAGTTCTCTGACATTGAAATGATGATTTTGTAGTAAGTGTTGTTTTGTAAAAGTATAAATTAAATGTAAAAGTACATGTAAAAATTATCACAATTAGGGCAAAATTCACCTGTTTTAGCCTTATAATATTATATGAAGCATACCTGATTTTGCCTTAACATGCCTGATTTCGCATTTTCATAGTCTATATAAAATGCCTGATCTAGCCTTTTCATATTCTATATAACAACGCCTGGTTTACCTTTTTCATATTCTATATAACAGACCTGATCTAGCTTTTTCATATTCTATATAACATAACTGATTTAGCCTTTTCATATTCTATGTAACATACCTGATCTAGCCTTTTCATATTCTATATAACATACCTGATTTACCCTTTTCATATTTTATATAACATACCAGGTACTGCCTTTTCATATTCTACATTGTATATAACAAACCTTATTAAGCCTTTTCAAATTCTTTATAATATACTTATTTAGCCTTTTCATATTCTATATAATACACCTAATTTAACATTTCATATTCTATATAACATACCTGATTTAGCCTTTTAATATATTATATTACATGCCTGATTTAGCCTTTTCTTATTCTATTCAAAATATCTAATTATGCCTTTCCTTATCTAAATCACATACCTAATTTAGCCTTTACATATTCTATATAACATTCCCGATATAACCTCTTCATATTCTAAATAACATACCTGATATAACCTTTTTCATATTCTATATAACATACCTGATTTAGCCTCTTCATATTTTATACAAAATATCTGATTTAGCCTTTTCATATTTCAAAAACATACCTGAATTAGCAGTTACATATTCTATATAACATACTTGATATAACTTTTTCATATTCTATATAACATAGCTGATTTAGCCTTTTCATATTCTTAATACATTTGTTGCATACCTGATTTAGCCTTTTGAAATTCTAACTGTTTTTGTATAGGAGAATCTTCTTCCTTGAGTCTTTTTATCTCCTACAACATGAATAATAATACAAATAATTATGTTTAATTTGGTAATTTTCAAAAATGTTTATTGTATACAGTAATATTGGCATTTTCAGTCAGTCTGTGTCCCCAAGTCATTCTACGTTGCAATATATCTCATAAAAATCAAATCAAATTTCCTTATTTGAAAATCAATTTTATTGCAATGCAGGAATCCTCTATGGAGCATTCTTTATTTTGACATTTAAGGTGCATTAGTCCCTTTTTAAATTTCTACTAGATATTGGAATTGAGGGACAATTGTTCATCTGAATATGAATATTCTCCATGACTAGGAACAAGTAATATATTAATACAAATGAAAGCAGATATAAAACAAAATGTTACACTATTATCACAAAGTTCATACTTGGATCTGAAATAGTGCATGTGTAAAAAGAGGGCCATGATTGCCCTGAAGTCACTCACCTGTATATGCCCCCCCGGTCGGAGTCAATGTAAACCCCAAGGGCTTTTATTTTAACAAACCTGGTAGACATCCATTAGAAGAAGTTTCATGCTAAATATCTAAGCTCTAGCTCTTTAGTTTTTTTAAAAGAAGATTTTAAGTTTTAACTTCATACATATAGGGAACAAGAGCTGTCACCCAAGTGACAAATGCTGCCGATAAGCATCATTTGACTCAACAAATCGTCTCTATGTTGTAGACATTTATGTCAAGTTATTCTTAAATCCTTCAATGCATGACAAACTTACAGCCTGGACACTATTATATGTACCTATTAATTCTAATTGTGATAAATTAAATGTGAAACTTCAAAATGATAGTGTGACCTTGACCTTTGAGGTAGGGACGTGTTTCTTGGACGCGAAACAACATATTGATGTAGTAGACATTTTTGCCAACTTATTTCAAAATCCCTCAATGTATGACAAAGTTACAGTCTGATCACGAATGAAGTGCGATCTACATGAAGGACGCACAGACGGACGGACGGTCAGACAGACGGTGCGATTTTAATATGACTCCTTTTGGGGGCATAAAACAATGAAAACCCCCCCAGGCGGGTCCAATTTTTAACCCAGGGTTTTTATTTGAACAAACTTGGTAGACACTCACTCGATGGTGTTTCATGATAAGTATCTAAACTGCAGCTCTTTGGGTTTTTTTAAAAGAAGATATTTTAAGTATTTACTTTACACAAATAAAAGGAAAATCAATGAAACCCCCCCCCCCCCCCATGGTGGGGCCAATTTTAACCCATGGGCTTTTATTTGAACAAACTTAGTAGACACCCATGCATAGTTCTGCATAGAATTAAATTCTTGAACAAATTTTAAAGAGCACCACTTAAGGAACATTCATGTGAAGTTTGGGTAAAATTGGCATAAAAATACGCATCTTATGTGGAGCCCTTAACCCTTTCGCTGCCAGAGGGTTATTGTTTTATTGATCACCTATTTGCCAGAGGGTTTTCTAAGAAATTACTATATTATTAATTAATATAATTATTATTATTAGTTATTAGTATTATAATAATTATATATGTTTCCAAATCTGTGAGAATAATAATATTTATTATTGATGGTATAATTTTCTTTATATTTATTATTATTATTATTATTATTATTAATTTATTATTAATACTATTATTATTATAGAAACGGCTAAAGCCGTCCATATGGCAAATACCCAGAAAATAACAGGGACAGCATAAGCTGTCCCTATGGCCGTGAAAGGGTATGGGGGAAGCAACAGTTCCATAAAATAAGTGGAAGTTAGTTCCTGATATAAAATTAAATGGTAGATTAACTCGTTGCCATGGAAAGTTAATGTTTGCTGGTTGCTATGAAATTTTACAGTTTGCTATGAAAAGTCAATGGCTGCTATAAAGTCGCTGATTGCTATGGAAACTTAGCTTTATCGCATGTAGATTCAGGGAAGAATTTTTTTTTAATTGTTTTACAATAAACATATAAGGTCAATCGATGTAACCCCAGGGTGGTGGTGGGGCTATAATTTAAACAATTTGTGTAGAGTTTCATGTGACAAAGTTATATACCAAATATCTAAGCTTCTGTAGTAAAACAGAAAATTTATTTTTTCTATTTATAGATAAGGGAAATCAATTCCCCCCCTGCGGCAAGGCCAATTTTGACCCCCAGGCTTTTATTTGAACAAACTTTGTAAACAACTCCTAGAAGATGTTTCATATTAAATATCTAAGCTAAAGCTCTGGTTTTTTTTTTAAAGAAAATTGTGTGTGTGTGTTTTTACTACATACATATAAGGAAAATCAATGGCCCCCATAGACATGGAATTTTTACCTCATGGTTTTCATTTGAGCAAACTTGGTAGTGACCCACTGGAATAAGTTTCATGCAAAATATCTAAGCTCTAGCGCTTTCTGATTTAAAAGTTTTTTTTAGGTTTTTCTATTGGTTGCGATGGCAACCAGAATTTAGCATTGAATGGAATTTTTTTTAATCATTTTAAAGGGCTTCATGCTAGAAATATTACTGCTTAGATTTAAAATATCAGCATATTGGTATAAAAGATGTTAAGAGTTAAACGCCATTTTTTGAAAGATGCATGCCGGACGCAGAGTGATCACAAAAGATCAACCTTGAGTACTATGTGTTCACGTGAGATAAAAAGTGGATGACAATATGCATCATTAAAAAATAAAGCTTGCTAACCTCATTGTGTGCCTTGACAAGCAAATAATACTGGTTTATACAAACATTAGTTATCTTAAAACCATTGCTGAATGCAATACGTGAACTGGTATCTTAAGTGGAAACAAACAATAGCTAAAACATTTTACCTCTTTTTGCTCTTCCATTATTGTCTCAAGAATAGTAAATTTCTTTTTTAAATCTGCATGTTCTTTCTCAGCCTCTAGTTGTCCTTTCTTTTCTTCAGAAATCTGTTTCTTTAGATCTGCAAGTTTGTTTTCAAGTTTTTCAGTCTCAACTTTTCCCTCTGAGAGTTTATTTTTCAGGTCCTCATATTCGTCTTTAGTAGCAGCATTTTCCGTTGATTTCAAAACTTTTGACATTTCTTCCTTGATTTGCCCCAGAATATCTTCAAAACCTTCAGTTGTAATAATGAAGTCCTTCTTCTTCAGCTGATGAAAAATAACAATTTTGTTACATTTTCTTTAAGACTACATTAGCTATGTGATTTTTAAAATTCACTCTTACATATATCATATTTTAAAGCAATATCATTTTATTTAAAAAATACCTCAATTGTTCTTTATGTTAATTTTCACACTTTTCTGTTGCATTCTTAAACTTTATAAGAGGGTGTGTTTTATAGGTATCTGGCTATCAGTCTCCATTTTTCATTCTTCTGTTATTGTCTACATATATTTCAATGCAACCAGTATTCTTTTAATACATCTCAGTTTCTTCATTTCACACTTAAATCAAGGATTTGACATGCCTGACATGTTTAGATTCTAATAGGGGTTTAGATATATAATTATGGTCACAGCTAAATGGGAGATACAAACATTTTGCAGGTTTTTATTATCTCAAGTATAATAATCATTCACACCCCTTTTCAATGTCTGGATATTGGAAGTAAATTTGTATTGCTATAATCCAAATTTTATCACAATATCAGAATTCAGAAGTCCTCAAAAATTCGGAGGTATGAAATATATAGAATTTCGGGACCCTTAAAATTGTTCGCATTTCAAAGTTTTTGGAATTCAGAAGTTCTTTAAAAACAAAAATCTCTTTTGTTTATAATTTAACATTTAATAGGTACATATATATTTTTATGTGACTTTATCAATTAAGGTAAGGGGATTATTTTTTGAATTTGACTATACTTTACCACTTCAAACCCTGTTAACCTAAACTTTGTCCTTAATTAAGTGATATGTTACAGTACAGATAACGAGGAATATGCAAATTTCAAGTAATCTCAAAAAGCGTGACTCCGAGTGGATTATAAATTTCTTGTACACAAAAGAGTGACTCGGCGTCGATAACGAGTGACAATTAGGTCCGCGGGACTCCGTGAATCTCCGAGCCAAAAAGAGTGACTCCGAGTAATGGTTTGCTAGATATTTATTCATTTATTAATATATTTTTATGCTCTATCTCTAAACTAATATCATTGAACGCATGTATTATTCATTCAAAATAAAAATGTTGTCGAATATTCTTCGTTCATGATGTAAAGTATCACAAGTGAAAACAAAAGTAGACAACTTGATTCATTAATATCAAAAGGAAAGATTATAACCGATGATTTCCCACACCGATAAGTGTCATATTTATCAGTTCATAAACATGTAAACATACCGCGAGGTCAGTGTATTAGACTGTGTCACTGTTCATATCAATTTTTCATTCAGGGGGGAAGTTACGATCTAAACCAGTCAATGACCCACAAAAAAGTAGACTGTGTCGCTGTGTTTTGAGATAAGAAGTGATAAAACGGAAGTTCTAGATGGAAAACCAAATGAGTACTTTTCCATTCTTAAAATAGAAAATGCTAAATTTAGACTGGAGATTCCAAGTCATACTTTTCGTAAGTTTGAGCCAATCGTGATTTTCTTGAGCCAATTTAATTATATTGGAGCCAATTTGCTAATTGGCTCCTGCCAGCGTGAGCCCTGATGGTAAATTGAAAACAACAACCGTAACAAGAGCTGTCGGTAGGACAGCAACGCTCGACTATTCTTAGTGCTTGATAGTAAAAAAAGCCTTGATTAAAAGGTAAAATTTTCTAAGTAATGCAATAGGCAAAATTTTTCTTTAAATCCATATTACAGTTATAGGCCTTGGAGAGAGTCCTATTATGCTCTCAAAGAAGAGTATAAAATTTCAACATGTTTCAAAGCCTTATGTCAATGAATTTTGAAAATATTTGAGGTATTACAAAAACTTTAACGTAAATTCTAAGTCGAAAAAGGGGCATAATTCTGTCAGAATGCTTGATAGAGTTACCTCCTTCTGTCTACATGTTGGGGTCATGATGGTGAACAAGTGTGCAAAGTTTCAAAGCCATATGTCTATGGACTTTGAAAATATTTAAACTATTACAAAAACTTTATCATAAGTGGTTACGCCGACGCTCTGGTGACTACAATAGCTCTACTTATTCTTATCGAATAGTCGAGCTAAAAATCATCTTTATTTTCGAATCGTAATATAAAATGAAATGTAAAATGAGATTGCACTTGCATTTATTTACACCAGCTAGACACCGACATGGAGTTACGTGGTAATTCTCTCTCGGAGTCACGCGCTCTTATTTTCGTCTGGGAGTCACTCTCATCACACGTTTCTCACGTGGAGTCACTCGTTTTTATGGACAAGTACTCTCGAGGAGTTGCGAGTGGATTCCTCGATCCTCCGAGGATTTTGCATATTCCTCGTTATCTGTACTGTATCTTAAATCATTATAAGTTAACTCCATAAAGATTTCAAACTGACACAATTCATTATTTACACTTACATCTTGAAGTTTCTTCACTGCTATCTGGGCATCTGATCGGTGTAATAGCTCTTTACCATCTTGTAAAACTGCTATCATATCGTCTAAGTAAGTATTTGCCTCACTTTCTTCTAATTCCATGCTGCTTGAGTGAAAGATAGCATTTCTATAGTGACGAACCTATTGAATAAAAAACACAGTTTCAACATTATTATATGCATAAATATACAGTGATTAGCAAATCAAAATTGTTTTGTAGAAAATTGTTTGGGTACTTACCTACATATAAGATGCTATCATGAATTATACAGGCATTTTTCATATATTTTACAAAAATGTCACATGGCAAATTGGGATAATTGTGTCTTAATTTTCTATTCGAACAAGAGCCAGTTGAACTGGGTGATGCTCCCCAAATAGGTTTTGGACACAGAAACGTATACCTCTTGTAGTGTCAGAGTTATTTTACAGACAAAGTTCAAAGTGTAAAAACAACCCAAATATTGCGCACGACACATTGTCTCAATATGGCGATCATTTCTGTGAAAAAGTTGGAAAATCCGACTTCAAATAACAAAGTTATGAGTTGGACACGATTTTGCTGCAAGGTCATGCTGTGAGCTTCACCTTCAAGATAGCGCCCAAATGTTGCGCATGACACGTCGTCTAAATATGGTGATCATTTCTGTAAAATAGAACTTTGTAAAATCAGACTTCAAATAACGAAGTTATGGGCTGGACAGGATTTTCCTGCAAGGTCATGCTGTGACATTCACCTTCAAGGAAGCCACCCAATTGATGCCCACGATACATTATCTCAATATAGTGATCATTTCTGTGAAATAATTTTAAAATCTGACTTGAAAGAACAAAGTTATGCACCAGACACGATTTTGCTGCAAGGACATGCTGTGACCTTGACTTTCAAGGTAGCGACCCAAATGTTACATGCGAAACGTTGATTCAATATAGTGATCATCTCTGTGAAATAGTCGTTAAATTCGACTTCAAGTAACGAAGTTATGGGCCGGACAATATTTTGCTGCAAGGTCATGCTGTGACCTTGAACTTCAAGGTAGTTACCAAAATGTTGCGCACGGCACACTATCTCAATATGGAGATCATTTCTGTGAAATAGTTGTAAAATCGGCCTTCAAATAATGAAGTTATGGGCCAGACACAATTTTCCTGCAAGGTCATGCTGTGACCTTTACCTTCAAGGTAGTGATCCAAACATTGAACCAGACTTATCGTCTCAATATTATGATCATTTCTATGAAATAATTTTAAAATCCGACTCCAAATAACAAAGTTATGGGCTGGACACGATTTTGCTGCAAGGTCATGCTGTGACCTTCACCTTCAAGGTAGCGCCCAAATGTTGCGCATGACACGTCGTCTAAATATGGTGATCATTTCTGTTAAATAGTTGTTAAATCAGACTTCAAATAACGAAGTTATGGGCTGGACAGGATTTTCCTGCAAGGTCATGCTGTGACATTCACCTTCAAGGTAACCACCCAAATGATGCTCACGACACATCATCTCAATATGGTGATCATTTCTGTGAAAAAGTTTTAAAATCTGACTTCAAAGAACAAAGTTATGCGCCAGACACGATTTTGCTGAAAGGACATGCTGTGACCTTGACTTTCAAGGTAGCGACCCAAATGTTACATGCGAAACGTTGATTCAATATGGTGATCATCTCTGTGAAATAGTCGTTAAATTCGACTTCAAGTAACGAAGTTATGGGCCGGACACGATTTTGCTGCAAGGTCATGCTGTGACCTTGACCTTCAGGGTAGCGACCCAAATGTTGTGTGTGACACGTGGCCTCAATATGGTGATCATTTCTGTGAAATTGTTGTAAAATCCGACTTCAAATAACAAAGTTATTGGGTGGACATGAATTTGGGACGTTACATATAATGTACGTCCGGACGGACATACCAACTTTTGATGTTTATGAGGCAAACCAGCTCGTAAACACCACCTGGACCAAAGTCCATAAGCAAAATAAGCTCATAAAAACAAAAAAATAGTTCTTAATTTGAATTTTATGAGTTTTTGTTCTTTATTTAACTACTGACATGCGGACTGACGGACATTCTCAAAGTAATAATGTGGCTACTCTATTGTTCTCTCTATTGTTCTTTTTAGCCACACAAAAGAAAATAGCCACATAAAAGCATTACAGAATGAACTAGACCTATCACTCAAGGTGATTAATACCCCACCAGCAACTTTGACTTTTGAAAAATAAGTCGATGGCTCAGCGCAAAACTCATTTTACTAACACCATTTTTTGGAATTTTACAGGAGGGTGAAAAAACTGTCTGATTTTTTTCCCTACATGTATCTTTTAAATATTCTAATATTTTTTAATCATGCTAATGGACTTGAAACTTATATGATAAGTCATTTTCTAGTGGAATTAATTCTTAATGGTTTAAATGCAATATTTTGAGTAAGCAATGATGTACTATCAAATAATTCAAATGGTGATTCCAAGTCAACCTATCGCTCAGCAACACCGTTAAATTACCAATACAACAAAATGCAAAAAGAAACACATATTAAGGGAAAACTCTGTGAAAAATCAATCGCTCATGAAATGATCACAAAAGAGAAGGAAAAACCTGTCAAATACACAGGCAATGACCATGACCAAACACAAAGAAAACAAATACTCACTAGCTCTTTTTCTGCAGAAAATGTCAACTGTAAATCAAGTACTACAAGCAATAGTGAAAAAGATGACAATATCACTGTTAGTTGTTTCAGCTCAGAGAATCCTCACAATTCTACAGAAACTTGTGATAGAGATAGCCAACTAGACACCTCAAAATACTCAGTTTTTATTTTAGGTGACTCTGTCACAAAAGTATTGCGAACAGATAAAATGACAACTGATAAAACAAATGTTAAAATAAAGTCACAAGGAGGAGCCAATCTTAAAGATATCCACAGTAAGATGTCCTCCTTAATTGCCAACCAGCCACATGTTCAGAACACAGACGTGTTTGTCATTCATGCAGGCATCAACAACATACTGCGTGGTGACCAACCAGAGGAGGTCAAGCAACAATTACTTGAACTAACAGAACTTTTAAGGCAAATCAATCCGCACATTAAAATAATAGTTTCTTCTATACTTCCTATGAAAGCAGATAAAACTTACCAAGAAAAGATCACAAATACTAATGAACTCTTGAGAACACTTTGTAATGAAAAAAGTATAACTTTCATTGATAACACAGATTCATTTATGAAAAATCAACAACAGACAAACCAATCACTTTACGTCAATGAAGTTCATCTTAATAATCACGGAGCTGCAGTTTTCGCAAAACAAATAAAATCAACAATAAGACAACTACTTAAAATCGAACCAAGGAAAACCCAAGGAAATTTTCGCCAAGCCGGCCGATCATACAGGACACCACTAAATCAACATCACAAGAGACAGAACAACCCTTGGCGCTTTCCACACTTCCATCATCCACCTGGAGCCTGGAACCTACCACCGTGGATGTACACATTTCCACCCCTTCAGAGATAGAAAGCAATAAATGTGACTTCCTATCTAAACAGACAAATTTGCTGGCATTCCCTCCTGAAAATGAAAACTGTCCAATAGTTTAAATTGTGGTAATAATTATAAGACTAGAGACAATAGTGACAGAACAAATAAATCTACAACAGAGCAAAACATTCTTTTAAACTGTAACGAAACAAACTTTTTATCAAAACAAGGATTAAATTTTTTACATCTTAACATTCATTACCTCTATTCCAAACTTGATGAATTAAAAATTTTGATGGACACTCATTCTTATCTGGATATTATAGGACTTTGTGAAACATTTTTGAACAACAACTTTTCAGACAATGAATTTCAGTTTAAAGGTTATCAAATGTTTCGTTTGGATAGGAAAACACATGGTGGTGGCCTTATTTTATATGTAAATGAAAATTTTTCATGTGTTTCTAGGCTTGATCTACAAAATGATAATATTGAAGCTATCTGGCTTGAAATCAAGAACAATCTACAAAACCATTTATTTTTTTGGATATATTTATAGGCCACCATCATCACATGCAAAATTGGAATATGGATTTAGAACAAATTCTAGAAAAAAAATTATATTGAAAAACAAGGAAATCATTTTGACTGGAGATTTTAACTATAATTATGACCCACTTACTCGATCTACTAATAACACATGCTGGAATAATATTACTAACAGTTTAAATTTTAAATCAACTTGTTGAAAAACCCCACCAGAGTAACTCAAACATCTAAAACCATTATAGATCATCTCTATACAAATTTTTCTCACAATATTTCTGAAATATCCATCCCTCAATTGTCCATTTAGTGATCATTTCCCAATCTGTTTCACACGCAAAATATCAAATACAGTTACAAAGACCCTTTACATCAGATAATACAGTATCGAAATGTTAAACAATTTAATGAAACAGATTTTGTGGAATCTCTTGAACAGCAGCCTTGGTCAGTGATAGAGATATTTGAAGATCCAAACGATGCTTTGGATTTCTTCAACTCTTTATTTAATGAGGTTTTAAATTCACAAGCCCCTCTCAAACGAAAACGTGTAAAACACACACATCTCCCAGACTGGTACAACCCTGATATTCCTCATGCCACTAAACAAAGGGATAAAGCTAAGAAATCAAATAACAATGATGAATATAAATATTGGAGTAACAAAGTGAAAAATCTAATCTCAAATTCCAAGAAAAATTACTACTCTGAAACTATTAATAACAACAAACACAATGCAAAAGAAATGTGGAAAAATCTTAAACAATTATCAAGCAAATCTACAAATCACCAGACTAATTATATTCAAGATGAAGATGGAAATCAAATCACAGACCCATTAGAAACTGCTGAGGTATTTAATGATTACTTCATTGATATCTTCAAATCTGCTCCACAAAATTGCTCAACCTTATCACAAGAAGATGAAATAAGATTGCATGAGTTTATTGAAATGCATTCAAATGATAAATGCCCTTTCAAGATACCTGAAATTACAAGTCAATTTATAAACAAAGAACTACAAGATCTTGATGTCAAGAAGTCAACAGGTCTAGATGGTATAGGAGCCAAATTTCTTAAAATAAGTTCTAAAATCATATCCAAG